ATGAATGCAATCAATATCTATATTTGTATGGATTGCTATCGCCGAGTCAGAAGGGCATTTCAGTTGGCGATCGTGCATGCGATTAGACTATTAAACGGATAGCTTATTAGGCGATCGCTCGATGGGCGGAGCAAAAAAGTCGATACGTACATATTCAATGTCACTCGCCTTCGAGATGAAGCTTGACCTTATAATCTGTTCGCCCAACAGCCTGATAGGTTAATCGATACGTATTCTTTCCCTCATAACCTGCCAGTCTAATGGCCCAATGGCAAACATTCGCCAACTCTGAACGTTGCCCAACCGAAAGTGATTACGTTATATAAGAGCGCTGCTAAACTCAATGCGATCAAATCCGCTACACAAATAAAACCAGTAGAGCTTAACTACGCTTTGTTTCCGAGAACCAGGTGCGCGTCGAGTGCAGACCAACACCACAAGTGACGAACTCCAAGTAAATCTGGTTAACTAGTGGTTCATAGTGATAGCTGATTTGGTAAATGATAGTTGTAATTAGTGACAACTGATAGAATACAACTGCAACAGGCTAATCATTTCATTGGCAGAAAACATTTACATTTTGTGGAGGCCGTCGTCACTTGTGTTGTGTGGTCTGCACTCGGCGAGCACCTGGTTATGGGAAAAAGAGGGTACTAGGATGTTCAGCGAATGAACGCTGTCCATTTGCAGACCAGTAACAGGAGAAGCAGAAATTATGGAACCGCTCATCTTTGGGCCCTAGGAATGAACGATGGTCACATGTATTGTAGATGGGTACTGATTGCTTGTTGATTAAAAATAGATGCTTTCAGAGTTGTGGCAAGCAATAGAAATAAGCATGGAACTGAAGAGTTTACTGCTCGAATTGGCAAGAGTTCTATAATAATGAAAGGGTGTCCCCTACTTGTAAGGCAGGGATAGCCGAGTGGTTAAGAGGTTAGACTCATGTCTGCACCTCTGAAAACCGCGAGTTCGATCCCTGCCGAGGTTAACCATGCCTTGCAAAAATTGCAAAAATAGTTCCTATAGTAGCTTGATGGAACTTCTGGGAAGTATTTGTAACTCTTACCTCAAAGTAATTCCAGAATAGAATTGAGATCTGCCACTTGCCCCGTTAACACGAGCCTTCAGATGAAGGGGGATGGCGCGTGCGGTGGCACGCAACTAAGGCGTGTCCAAATGTTTCCAGGCCTTCTGCTCTGCCTTCTTCAACAATCGACGCCCGCGCCGATTTCGGCGCATATCACGCAT